TTGATGCCTTTTTTTTTACCTTTCGCCTGCACATGCCAGTATTGTAAATAAAATTAATCTAACATGTATTTATATTTAATAAATATGACATTAAAATCAAGTTTCATTTTGTCGACTATTTTAACTATAATCATATTATTGATTACAACATTAGCAACTCATATTTTGTCAACACTTTCATTAAAGATTCCAAGTGTCATAGCAATAGTGTTCGTTGCTATATAATTTGTTAAAAACTGTGGGATGCTAGGAACTGTGTGAAGTGTAACTTTATCTTTATCAATAGGCAAAACTTAATCAATTCTAACTATAGAAAGCAACAATTGTAAGTAATTTATACCTTGGCTGATCCGTCCAAAATTTTTGGTGCAAATACTCTAGTTAGCTGGTTAAATATCCCTAACTTAGTATAAATAAATAAACATGAATTTATATCTTCTTGCGCCATGACTCCTTCCAAAAAAATATCAGAGAATTTCCTCTTTTGGTGGGGTCATAAAAATTGAGTACGGTAAGGTTATTTTTCCATTCAATAAATTTCTTAGTAAGGTGCCCCAATTGAAAGATGAGCTCCTGAGGCTATATTTGGGGAGTGAGTACTGCACTTTGGCAAGTATTCATAATCTTATCATAGAAAAGAACGGGATGGATGGTATTAAAATTATTACTAATGATAAGTCATGCAAGTTGGATATTTTAGCCTCAGGTGCTAAAATTCATATTGCCTTTGCTAATTGTTTTTATAAAACTAATCTTATTAATCACAAATGCCCAAGCTAATAGTTATTTAAAAATTAATCTTATTAATCATAAAACTAATTAGGTTGTCATCTTTTTATTAAATCTTTAAGCTAAGACAACTGAACTTTCTAGAGGGGCACTCTAGCGAGTCTGCTTAAGGGTATTATTGGCCTGCGTAAAATTAATAATGCTTACTATTTTTATTGACGTATTTGGCCATGTGTTGGCATTTAAGTCCTACAATTATATGTCAATTGATGCAATTATTTAGAGGACTCAGCTAGAATTTATCCATTATGGCATTGCATTATTGCTCAATGTTTATTTATGTTTTCTATTGACCCTATGGCTATCCTTACCTGCCCTATAATTATTAGACTTGAAAAATGATGTGCCAACAAAATTTATTCTGTTAAGTTTAGGTATTTGATGCTTGGGAGTTGTGTGGATGATGTGGAGCGCTCCATGCTGGGTGCCCGTGATTGCAGAAAATTGAATCAATATTTTTTTTTTCCAATTCGTTTCCTCCTTTTATTTCCTTCATTTCAAGTAAATTCATATATTCCATTTTTCGTGAGTTTTCTGTGAGGACAACCATCAACGACTACGACTTTCCATTTCTAGGGTTGTATCCTCGGGCAAGTGGTGCTCGGACTGCATCTTGTTCTAAGATGGCCACTATCCTCGACTTTCCCTTCCTCCACATCCTTCCCTCCAGTTCCATTGTCGCCGTACTTGCCGCAGCCACCCCTAAAAACAGCCCTCTTTGGCTATTTTTCTGCATTCCACCCTTTTCCAGCCGCCTTCCCTTTCCACCTTTTCCAGTTGCCTTCACTTTCCACCTCACTGCCGTTCCAACCATTCTGAACCACTTCTCTATCACCTAGCCGCTGCCCCAACCCTCCCGCGCCAGCTCCCTGCCACTTAGGGTCCGTTTGGAGCCGCTTATTTCGTGCGGTGTGGCCCCAGACCGCGAAGTTTAATTTTATTTTCGTTTGGATGCCACGTTCGCGGCCGCCTACCGCTAAATTAGACGAAACTTGGGTTGCGAGATCAACCCCGTAGCCCCGTGTATGATCTAAAAAAACCTCCATTGCTTCGCGCTGAGAAGCATGTTGGTGGTGTTGAGCTCGTCGAACCTCCACACCCTTGAAGCGGCTGCGGATAGATCCCACCCCTCCAATAGTGTCCTTCGGCTCACTCCAGAAGAGGCCATAACCATGCCGCTGGCTCTACTGCTTCGTAGCAGCGAGGCCGTAACAACAACAGAAAAGTTACATCTAATTGGTGTAGGGAGGAGGCCATGAGATAAAACCAAAGAAAACTTTTTCGAGAAGGAGACGATATAAGAAGAAGAGAGAAGCAAGAGAGAGGAGGAAATGGCCTCCATTAACGGACAAAAAAGAGCTCAGATCCTCTGAGGTGCTCAGAGATAGCAATTGCCCTTACGCTTTGAGAGTTGTAGCAAGGTTAGCCTTTTAACCTGCCTTAAGACATACAAGCAAAATTTACATACGCAACTTCTATACTTGTCACACACCTAAATTTATATTTTTACAGGTACAACATTTTCTTCTATGTTTAAGTAGATATATGAAAAAGTGAATTATATTTTTCATAGGTAGTGTTTTAGATGTAAAAATCAAAGTTTAGATAAAAAATAAGTACATACTTAACAATAAGGCGCTATATATATATATATATATATGTAAATTCTCCATAATTTTTTCCTCTTTCTTTTTTTAACGATATGGTTTTAGAGGGCACTCTAGATGGTCTTTTTTGGATTTTTTTTTTAAATATATGGTGAGGTGTTTATATAGATTTTTTACCATTCTGAAGTTAATGTTTGCTTCTGAAGTATCTAATATAAGACTAGAACAGTTTTGTTACAAACAACATTACTAAACAGAGGCAGAGCGATCAGTTGTCCAGAGACTGTCACACAGTTGTTTTCACACAGCTGCAAAAAACAACCAGCCAGCTTCCCCGCAACAGCTTCCCCGCAGCAACTTCCTGGGGCAGCTAAAGCTACACCTGCCCCAAATAGAACCTTATCCACTGTCTCAACCACTTGAAACCCCCTCCCCGCAGCCAAAACAAGGGCAGAGTGACTACAAAACAGAGGCAGAGTGATCATTTGTCCAAAAACAACTGTCACATAGTTGTTTTCACATATCTGTAACAAATAACCAGCCAGCTTCCCCACAGCAACTTCCTGGGACAGCTAAGCTGCAGCTGCCCCAAACAAAGCCTTATCCATTGTCTCAGCCACTCGGAACCCCCTCCCCGCAGCCTAGGTGTTGTTCTAGGCGTCAAAAACGCTTCTAATCGCTGTTTTCCCGCTCTCTAGCCTATCCATCCACGTGTTGTTGTCCTAGACAGTGAATATATACTACTTCCCTACAGTGTCACCCGCTGCTCCACATTCCCTACCTTGTCGCCATCTTCTCAAGCCGTAACCGACCACAACCACTCCTGGATCAACCCCATAACAAGTGTCTGTGTCGTATCATTTATTTTTTTCCATTTCCACTTGTTGCTTATATTTGCCTATTGGCTTTTTTAAGTAATATTTTTTATTTATTTATTGTTCTTTGGGTCAACTCCAGTATCAGGGGATTTCACTTCATTATGGATTCAAATGCATTGTTGGTGTTTTGCTCCAATCAATTGTACTATCAAGTTATTGGTAGTTGGAAACAAGTGGTCCTTGAACCAATCTTGTTCCCTCAAATACCTGAAGTCCATATGTGGATCCTTCTCGGTTGCTTTCTTGTTGCTTTTGTAATATATTGATCTCGATTTTAAAGTCTATCAACTTGTCAAAAATCCTACTGCTTTATATGTTTTTAAAATATTTAAAAAAGCTTTAAATAAGAACCCTACTCAAATAAAAATAAGATATTAAAATTCATTACGCATAGGAACCAATTGAGTACTTCTGTAAAAGCTCTTGAATAAAACAAATAAGATTTATTATTATTATTAGTTTTTTTTAAATAAAGATAAATAATATTCTTTTAGAAGTGCCATTCACCGAAAGTTGAAAACCAAGCTGAAAATAAATTTAGGAAGAAGGGATAGACAAAAAATGACTTCTCAAAAGCAGTGAAAAAAAATTACATGAAATTAAGTTAACACCTCAAGTAGAACACCAAAGATGTTTCTGAAATTTTTTTAATTGCAGAATAACATTCTCCATCAATCACGGGATATGTCCTCGCATTAATAACAGCAGCTTCTTGGACTAATGTCAAAAATCCTAGACAATATTTTGTAGTATTTGCAGGCATATCATTTCAAGATTTCAAAACAAAAACTAAAACAATTATAATCAATGAATATATTATTGAAGGGTTTTCCACCTTTTCATGTTTAGAATATAAAAAACTAATGATCGATGGAATTCTAACAAAGCTATAGAAGCAAAGCCAGAGAAACAGACCTGCAGCTGAGATATCATATACAACAACAACAAGCCTTTATCCCACGCTACATGAATTTTTTTTCTCTATTGTGCTCTATTTAGTGTTATATTTTCATTTAATTCTAATAAATTAAGATTATTTTTTATACAATATGTCCAAGTCTTTTTAGGTCTATCTCTGCTATACTTAACATAAGTCGAATAAAAAATATCTACTCTCCTAACCAGATCATCAGTTGGACACCGTTTAATGTGACCAAACTATCTAAGACAACTATCTCTAATCTTGTCATCTTGTCAATCAGTGAAGCTACACCAACCCTTTCACAAAAACATTTGTTTCACATTGTCTCTAAGTGTCAAACCACTCATCTACCTAAACATTCTCATCTCAAAAACACTTAACTTAGTTTTATGGTTCTCTTAAAGCCAACATTTTGCGCCATAAAGAATTGCAGGCCTCACAACTATCTTATAAAATTTTCCTTTAGGTCTAAGCGGTACTGTTCTATCACCCAATAGGCACAATGAATTCCTCTGCAACCACCAACAACTTGAATTCTACTAAAAACATCCCTATCAATATGACCGTCACTTGGAACAATAGAACCGAGATATCTAAAACAATCACATATTTTAATGATTTGATTACCCATAGTTATAACTCTACCACTAAATCTACTACTATTAAAATTACATTCCATGCATTCAATTTTAGAACCCAAATGAAAAGGAAAATTTAACCAGTCATACTACAATTCAAGTTGTTCAAAGTATGGCCCTGAAACATAAATAGAATTAGATCTGAAACAAGAAAATAGCATTTTACCTGTAGCAAATAAGACAGTGTCAGCCACAATGACATCTCCATGGTCCGTCAAAACTCTAATGCCGTCTTCTGTTTTACTCAACTGAAATTCCATAGAAATTTTAGATATAGGATGCTCGATATGAGGAAGAAACCAGCAGGAAAATAAAAGATTTGTTGGAAAAAATCCTTCTTGGAAACAATTTACCTCCTGTAAATTCTTTCCAGGGTGCAATTTAATTCCCCTTCCTTCAAGATTTTTAGCAACCACTGCTCTCATTTCATCATCAAAACCCCTAAGCAAATTTAATGCATTATATAAAACAAAGAGATCACTAAGTAATGCCAGGATCACTTAACAAGAATATTGATAAAATGAAAAACCTACAACACAAGATGAGAATGAAGTGATAACTCTAGCAACAAAACTCCTAAATCTTGTTTAGTCCGCTGCCTGCTTCATCCTTGCAGCGATCCCCGCACACTCTCGTGAGCATCTCACATCTACTTGCATCCATGTGGAACCCCTCAGCATACCCTCATGGCATCCCCGCTCTCCCTCATAAAAAAATATTACCTCCGGACTCCGCACGAAGAGTTATATGTGGAGTCCAATGAGAAGAAGCAAACGGAGCAGGGGGGACCCACTACCCAAAAAAATTAAAAAAAATGCTTATTTCGCGTGACGCGGTCCGAATCCAACCCCAAAAATTGAAGTGACTTTTGGTCCAAAGCGAATCCCGTCAAAAGTGATTTTTAGCATTTTTATGCTCCAGCCAGTCCGCAAAAGCATATTTTGTAACTTTTGGTTGTCTTTGCGTTGGGTTCCGAGCAGGTGTGATGAATTTCTCTGATGACGAAGAAATATTAATGATAAAATCAGAGAATAATGTCAACCAGTTTCAATCGCATGTGAGTTTAGTTTAGTTTTATTTTGGTTTGAGTTTGTATTGTTGTGTTATCCTGGTTCTAGTTGGTTTTTGGTAAGTTTTTTAGTTTCTAGTTAGTGTAGTGTTAAGTTGGTGTTATGAGGGTGTATAGGTTTGTTATTTTGGTTTAACGTTTAGGATTACTATAGTGTTAGGGCTGGTTTTTATGGTGTTAGTTTAGTGTTATCTTTCTATGTTGTTGGTGTTATGAAAATGTTATTGTAATGTTATGGTTTAGGGTTTAAGGATTGTATTGTTCTAGTGATATTATTGTTGAATTATTATTGTATTATTATCGAGTTATTGTTGTGTTATTGTGGTGTTATTGTAATGTTATTGTTGTGTTATTGTTGTGTTGGTATGAGTGTGTTGTAATTGCGGTGTTATTGTAATGTTATTGTTGTGTTATTGTTGTGTTTGTAATGTGTTGGTATGAGTGTGTTGTAATTGCGGCCTATTAGTGTTTTTATGGTGGTGTTAGTGTGGTGTGACCGATGTGTTATTATGTTGTTAGTGTAGTTTTTCATGGTATTATTGTGATGTTTGTTTTATATCTGAACATCGTTAAATTGATGTACTAATGTGCAGTCTGGAAATATGAGCAATGATCCAACACAGAGATGTTTCTTTGCACCGCTGTTCACAATGATCAAGAAACATATGAAAGCTATTGTTCTTATGCACATCATGTAAAATTTACTGTTAGGAAGAGCTATAACAGCTATTTGTCAAACTCTAAGAAGATTAAAACCAAAGATTTTATTTATGGAAATGCTGGCTACAATAAGGAGTCAAACTTCAATACGATGAAATTTAAAAAAATAGACACGAAGACTGGGAGTCAAATCATGGTTAGATATGTCGTTGATGTAAAAGAAAATTGCACAGTGAAAAAATTCATTTAAAATCATAACCATCACTAGCAAAACATCCTCTTTGGAGCGGGTTTTTTGTCCGATGAGTCAAAATCATAACCATCACTAGCAAAACATCCTCTTTGCAGCGGGTTTTTTGTCCGATGAGTCCAATTCTTTCATTTGGTTATTCAAAGCATTTATCCGAATAATGGGTGATAATCATCCAATGACAATCTTAACCGATCAGGATTAAGCGATGGAACGAGTCATTGAAGATTGTCTTCCACAGACACGGCACAGATTATGTCAATGACATATATACATAAAATTCCCTTCAAAAGTATAATGTGATGTGGGTGTCAAGAGTGTGGGTGATCTCTTTTACAAATGCATGAGCAAGTGTGATTCCGAAGAGAATTTTGAAAATAATTGAGCCACAATGATTGAGAAAAAGAATCTACACAGCGTGGGGTTAAATGACATGTACAAGATCAGACATAAATGGTCGACAACCTTCAATAAAGAAATATTTGACATGAGAATATTATCAACACAAAGAAATGAGTCCACAAATAATATATGTCGCGGTGTTTCCAAGCCTACTAGCTCTCTCGTTGATTGAGCTATAGGCTTGACGTAGGAATGAAAAGGATGAAGATTTCAAAGTGATCAATTTGTCACTACGCTCGTGGTAAAAGTTAACTTAGTCTTGAGACAAGTTGCCGCATTTTATTCGAGAAAGTTTTACTCAATGTTTTAGTAAGAGCTATTGGATGAACTATGTAGACTTACAGTTAAATTCTTCGCAGAGGGTGACTAAGAATATTATGTAAGAAATTTGGATAATCAAGAGACAAACAAACACTGGATTGTGAAACTTGAAAAAGTCAATTTTGAGGTCACTTGCAGTTACAAAAAGTTTGAAATAATGATGTTATTATGTTCTCACTTTCTGTATGTGTTTAATGTGACTAAAATAAAGCTGATTCCTGACAAATATTTGTTAATGTGATGGTCTGTTCATGCTAAAAGGGACATGTAAAACAGCTTTCGTTACGAACATCTGAAGGAATCTCACAAAAGCAACAGTTTGCATACCAACTTATTAATAAAGCATAAGGAAATGAAACAACCGAGCAAATGCTTTGGAAAACATTAAAACATCTCTTTGGAGATTTTGATGATGCATTAGCTAGAAAACCAGATCAAACAAAGAAAAAAACAAAGAAGAGAAAAATGCCAAATACCCAATTCAATTTTAATGACCCAACAAAGATGAGACCGAAAGAAGTTTCTACATCTAAGTTGAAAGGTTATTGGGAGAAAAATAGGAGATGAAAATGTATATATTTCAACAAGATAAACTGTTTTAATCTATCCATTATTGTCTTTCTCTGACCTAGAGCACTGCATTTACGAAAACATCAAGAAGCATCAACAAGTCGATAACCCGATATTCCTTGCAAGACATTCAGTTGAAATGTCAAATTGTATCGGCCAGGTATATAAATAAAATTCAGTGACATATAACAAAAAATTAAGTAGCATTAGCATGTGTTTTTTTTAATCAAAATCTTTTCTCAAACAATTTCACTTCTAATTTTTTCATTATGACAGAAATATGATGCATCTCAACCAACAAGAGTATATGTCAGACTATTTATGGATTCAATAAGTGAGTTATATTTGTAATATTAACGAGTTAATGTGGTTCATTAACAGTTCTGACATGTTCGTATGATTCATTAACTTTATTGTTGATTAATATAATCATTTTATTAAATAATTGAGTGATTTATTTGATTCAATCATTGATCGATGAATGTATTCAATGATTGAGTAACACATGAATAAGAGAATAATAAAACATTTATAACACATCAATCCACTTCAATACACCACAAAAACACAACAATAACACAATAATAACACATTACTAACTTCATATCACGCTTATTTGAGTAACATATGAATAAGACAATAATAAAACCTCTATAACACCTCAATTCACCTTAATACCACATCAATACACTACAATAACACAACAATAAACCTCACTTTACTCGATACCACATCTATTTGAGTTACACATGAATAAGACAATAATAAAAACTCTATAACACTTCAATGCCCCTTAATACCACCTTATAAGACAATAATAAAAACTCTATAACACCTCAATGCCCCTTAATACCACATTAATACACCACAATAACACAACAATAACATAATAATAACATAACAATAACACATGAACAACACATTAAGAGAATATTCCCCTTGTTATACCGCGGAAACATTGGAATATTCCCCATGCGTTATATCTGTGCATTGATATGAGGCATGTTCCCCTTACAGCGCATTATAACACATGAGAAGATTCTCATAATGCAGTGATATAACACGTGGGGAATATTTCACTAACGATGCGATATAATACGGGGAAGATCCCCATAACGCAGCGATATAACGCCAGAGGAATATTCCCCTAAAACCGCATTATAACACAGGGAAGATTCTCAGAACGCACAAATATAACACATAGGGAATATTCCCTTGTTTTTATGGTATAGCAAGAGGAATATTGTCTTAATGTGTTTTTCAAGTGTTATTGTTTTGTTATTATTGTGTTATTGTGATGTATTGAGGTAGTATTAAGATACATTGAGGTGTTATAGAGTTTTTATTATTGTCTTATTCATGTGTGACTCAAATAGATGAGATATTGAGTGAAGAGGGGTTTATTGTTGTGTGATTGTTTTGTTATTATTGTGTTATTATTGTGTTATTGTGGTGTATTGAGATGGTATTGAGGTGTTATTGAGGTTTTATTATTGTCTTCATGTGTTACTCAAATATGTGTGATATTGAGTTAGTGAGGTGTTATTGTTGTGTTATTTTTTGTTATTGTAGTGTGTTGAGGTAGTATTGAGGTAAATTGAGGTGTTATAAAGGTTTTATCATTGTCTTATTCATGTGTTACTCAATCATTGAATACATTAATCAATCAATGATTGAATCAAATGAATTGCCCAATTATTTAATAAAATGATTATATTAATTAACAAAAAGTTAATGAATCATATGAATATGTCAGCACTATTAATGAACCACATTAACTCATTAATATTACAAATATAGCTCACTTATTAAATCCATCAACAATCCGGTATATTCTCCTGTTGATTGAGATGCATCGTATTTATGTCATAATGGAAAAATTAGAAGTGAAATTTAAAAAAAAAAACACATGCTAATGTTACTTAATTTTCTGTTATATACTACTGAATTTTAATTGTATGCCTGGCTGATACAATCTGACATTTCAACTAAATTTGTCTCGCAAGGAATACCGAGTTCTCGTCTTGTTGATGTTTCTTGATCTTTTTCTAACATACAATGCTCTAGGTTAGAGAGAAAATAATGCATAAATTAAAATAACTTAACTTGTTAAAATATATATATTTTCGTCTCTTATTTTTCTCCTAATACCCTTTTAACCTAAATGTA